TGCTGGGATTCCAAGCGCAAGCGTGAGCCACCCCACCCGGCGGGAAAGATACTTTTTAAAAAAGTATATTTTACCTTAAAAACAACATATATATAATCAGTTTTTAAAACAAGTGATTATAATTTTGTTTCTTAAATATTGTAATATATATGCAAAGGCCTTTTATCAATTTAAAAGTAAGATGGGGTGAGGTGGTGAAATATTGGTGGGCTGGAAATTGGGAGACCTAGGTGATCGCACCCTCCTGGTAAAGACATCTCCCTGGGTCTGGGTTTCTCAGAAGGGGATGTAGAAGGGGGAGTTAGACAAAGTGGTGAGTATGACAGTAGCTACCATTCATTGAACATCTGCATCCTTTAAAATGTATTCGTCTTATTTAATACACACATTTAGTACCTATCTATGCAATAGATAGTAGTGCCCCTTTTATAAAGATGGAAACTGAAAATCAGAGTTGGCACCTAAAGACACACAGGTTATAAGTAGCAAAGTGAGAATTTGAGGTTATGCTAATTCCCTCAAGCCATGAAGTCCTCTGATTCTATCCCAAACTTGTTTAAACTAATTTAAATTATTTTTAAGGTTTTCTGCCCCAAACTTCAAGTTAGTTTCTTAAGTATTAAGATAATGTGGCATGTGAAACTATTAAGAAGTGTATTATACTTTCATTAAAATATTTTGCCCATTTTATAATTCTCTGTCTTTTAAAGGAAAGGCTTTCATTATTAATAAGGTTCCTGCTTGTTAACATTTTATGATTTTGGTCATTTTGTTTTGTCTTCTATTGAGGTGCTTATTTCTAAAATATATATTTGAAGATTGTTTCCCTTGAAGTAATTCTTCTGTTCTTTATATCTTGGTCTAATTTGCATGTACAATATATTAATAGGTAGTCATGTATTCTGGAATAACTCCCTGAGCAAGATTTTTACTGAAGGAGGGAAAATCGTTCAAAAATGACTAGTCCTGACTCTCGGTGTAGGACCATCTGTACAACCTCTCACATTGTGTGTTACTAATTTCAGGGCTTACTATTCTTATGCTTTGAGATGTAAATGACTCTCATGGAGTTGGGTAAATAGGCAGTCCTTTATCTTCGCTTCTTTTTCCATTGCACGCTTCCATCACAGGAGGATGGACAGGAGAAAAAGGTAAAGAACATGTTACCAGGGAGAAACAAATGAAGTAAATACAGCGTAGTTTAGACCTTTTATACAGGCAGCTGTGAAATGTTCTACTCTCCTCTTTTTTGTTTTTTTTAAGAAAAGATAAATAGCAGTTTCTTGATCATGCATAGAAAAGGGAACAAGAAGTGGGTGATGGAAAAATGAAGAAGAAATAAGAGTGGGGCAGATTACACAGCCAGGGGTGCCTGCTTAATTATTTTGCAGGTAGGGCCTCACACAAATTAATCCCAAAATTACTTAGCCAAGAGCAGTGTAATGCCAGGTTCCCAGCATCCCTGCTAATCTGTATGTTTTATGTGATTACTGTTTTAACACAGTAAATGAGGTTTTTAAATCCAGCTTAAAATAAATAGATCTTCAAAGTGATAATAACTAGAGATTGGTCAATATCATCTGTAAGTAAGTGAGTGACAGCTGTAATGGAAACAGAGTAAGGGAAGAAGGTGAAGAAACTAGTGGGAAGACTAGTTCTGATGAAAGTGTGCTAGACATTAACTGGTTTTGTCTTAGGTGCAGTTCACCTGAGTGGTAATGTCAGAATAAGTTATTGCCATGCTTTGACCTTATGATTAGTTCTGCAGCTTTTAAAATTGGAACTTGTGTTAGTTTTGTACTTGAAAATAGCTAGTCAACTTAAACTTCAGGATTAAAAGTTTACTTGTTAAAATACAGATTTGTTTTCCCCAAAACAATTTACACATTTGTGAAGAAATGACTTAAGGTTTTGCATTCTACCTGTTTTATTTATTCAACTGGCACGTCTTGAATTTATGCTTCAGTCATACTTGTACAGCTGTGTGGGCCGGCATGTGAACAAATACAGAAGAATTTTCTCCTATGTAGAAAAGGTTGTTGTTGTTGTTAAAATAGTTATATATAACAAATTATTGGCTGCTGAGACCCTTTCTGGTCTCAGTAATCTGAATTTTTTTTTAACAAAGTATAGATGGTTGTTAAAAAGTCTTAGTTTGATAGATGGTGTGAATAAGTTCATGCAATTTTGGGAGAATTGTTGTATCATCAGTGACTGTGGCTCATAAAGGAGAAGCAGCAATAAAACTGAGCTGTTTTATCCCACTTCTAATAAAAGAATGATAAATAATAGAAAATGTTACTCTCATACTTTCCAGAAAGTGTCAGTAACAGTGGAAATTGGGGTATATTAAATCTTTTAAAATATACATGTGAGTTTCCAGTCAAAATATTCTTTGTCATTTCTAGCAAAGAGTTTAACATAAACAGTGAATTATTAAGGTAAATTTGGTGTCTGGGACTTGCAATATAACCAATACTACCCTGATTATTTTATTGATTCATTGTAAAGGAAATATAGGTTCTGCTAAGGAAAAAAGGAGATCAAGCAATCTTACAACTAAAATTAAGTCATCACAATTAGTGTTAGAACACTATATAGTTTTTTACAGACATATTTCATATAGGTTGAATTTCATAACACTGAGCATCACTGCATCCGTTTAATTTTAAAATAGTGACATTTTTGTTAGCTGTAACTAGTCTTTCTTTCTCTTTCTCCCCCTCTCCTCTCCCCCATATATATATATGTAAATGACATATATATATGTAAATGACAGCAGATCCCTTGTAGATAGATTAATGCCCTCCCTGAGGGGATGATGAACTCACTCCACACCTGAAGTCCAAAATTATATACAGTATATAATTTTATATATCCCAGGAGTAGAGTAATAATATATGATATAAATTGTATATTATAATAAATTATTGTTTAATATATAATTTATTATGTTAATACATTACATATAATTAATATATAACAATTTTATTTAATTTTGGGCATCAGGTATGGAGTAGTTCATCATCCTCAATTCCTGGCACATTATCATCCACACAAAGTATATGTAAATAAACAATGCTCTGAGGACCCTTCTGTGCTCTGCAATATGAACTTCTATACCCATCTTTTCCATTACCTTTTCTTCCCAATGAACAACTTTAATCTGTTTTCCACAGGCTATCTTTGTTTTAAATACAGGCAGCTGTTTTCCAATAATAAACGGAAAAATGCTGTTTATGTCAGTTTCTGGTTAGAATGACTTTTACCTTTGTGAATTTGCTTTTTCAGGCCTTTATAGTATTTTTATCTAATGCCTCAGTTTCATGTAGTGGCACACTCTGAGGCTGAGATTCAGTTCTAATAACATGGCCATGCGTTAACTATTTTCTGCCTAATGTTTCTTATAGGTTTGTCTGTTGACAGACTATAATATTCCTTCCACTTTAATGACTGCTTCATTTTGCATTTTCTTTCCCTATTTTAGTCCATTTGTGTTCCTATAAAGGAATACTGAGGCTGGGCAATTTATGAAGAAAAGAAGTTTATTTGGTTCATGGTTCTGCAGGCTGTACAGGAAGCATGGTGTCAGCATCTATTTCTGGTGAGGGGCTCAGGTTGCCTCCACCCATGGTGGAAGGTGATGGTGATCTGGCATGTGCAGAGATCACATGGTAAGAGAGGAAGCAAGAAAGAGAGGGGAGGTGCTAGGCTGTTTTTAACAACCAGCTCTCCAGGGGACTAATAGAGTGAGAACTCACTTGCTCCCCACCCTCCCCCAGGGAGGGTATTAATCTATTCATGAGGGATCCACCCCCATGACCCAAACACCTCCCACTAGGCCTCACCTCTGACACTGGAGATCAGATTTCCATGAGAGGTTTGGGAGACAAATATCCAAACTATAGTACCCACGTTTATAGTCAAACAAGTTTTTAGCACAGGGAGAAACATCACTGACACCTGGTATAGGCACCTGGTGGTCAACATTTGTTACTTAAATTCTAAATACCTTTATAAACACCATCATGGCTAAGAGAAGAAAAATGAAACACCAGCAGTTCTCATTAGAAGAAAAAAATGACGGTAATGGAAGCAGTAGATTGCTGCCACAATAAAGGAGAAATAGCAAAGGAATTTAACACCACGACCCCAACATTGTTCACATTTTTGAAAGATTGAGCCAAGATTGAAGAGAAAATTTACAAAGGGATTCTGGGACTAAAGCAGAAGTGAATGTGAGGCCCCTTTTATCACTCTTTCTGCATGGTATCGGGTTCATGCAAGAAATGGGCATGTAACTGTGCTATAGAAAGCTTTGGATTTTTGTCAACCTTGGGCGTTGCGTTAGTCTCTTCTTGCATCACTATAAAGAAATTCCTGATGCTGTGTAATTTATAAAGAAAAGAGGTTTAATTGGCTCACAGTTCAGCAGACTGTACAGGAAGCATGGTGCCAGCATCTGCCCCTGGTGAGGGCTTCAGGAAGCTTTCAGTTGTGGTGGAAGATTAAGTGGGAGCAGGCATGTCACATGGTGAGACAGGAAGCAAGAGGCAGGGGGAAGAAGTGTCACACTCTTAAATAACCAGATCTCACGTGAACTCGTAGAGTAAGAACTTGCTCATTACCACAAGGATGGCACCAAAACATTCATGAGGGATCTGCCCCCATGATCCAAATGCCTCCCGCCAGTCTCCACCTTCAACACTGGGGATTACAGTTCAGCTTGAGATTTAGAAGGGACAAACATCCAGAGCTTGTCAGCCATGGTGAGTTTCAAGCAAGTGGGGGCTGCCTCAACAAACTTCGGGCATATTCTGGAATTGTTTCACAAGTTGCCTGTAGTGAAGAAAACACTGTTTTGGTAGAGAAAATTATTAACTTACATGCAGGAGAAACTTAAAAACAAAAACAAAAATTGCTGGTTATAGCTTCAGTGGCTTGTTTCTTTGTTTGTTTTTGATACAGGGTCTAGCTATGTTGCCCAGGCTGGTCTCAGACTCCTGGGTTCAAGCAGTACTTCTACCTCTTCCTCCCAAAATAGTGGGATTAAGGCGTGAGCCACCCCGCCCAGCCTGAATGGTGTTTTAAATGCTGATGAAACAGATGTTCTTGTTACCTTATCATATGCTTCATGCCAAAGGTAGACTTTGCAAAGGAAATAAACAGATTGATGATTGGTGTATTCTACTGTAATGCATTCTGGAACAATTGTCTTTGGCAAGTCAGCTAACTATCAGTACTTCAGAAATGTTCCCCCCGTGATTACCAAGCCAATACACATGCCTGAATAATGAGAAATGTGTTACTGAATGACTGATAAAGATTGACAAGGGAATGCAAGGAGCAATCCACAGTATCCTCTTGCTGATAGACAATTGCTCTGCCCACAACATACTCCCACACTTGGATCATGTAGGAGTTGAGCTTTTCCCATTGAACTACACAGCCATTCTGCAGCCATTGGATCAGGGTGTAATTGGCACAGAGAAAGCTCACTTCTGAAAGCAGTTTCTAAATGTAGAGAATGAAGAGAAAATGGAGAAAAGCAACATGAATAAGCCATTGACATGATTGCAGAGACTTGGTGGTCTATAAACTTATCTGTAGTCATGAAATGTTAGCAAAACACAGGCATGATTCCTGTGGGATCCCCTGAGGTCCTCCTGTAAGAAGGCTGCAACCAAATGTGGTGTTTGAACCAATCTAGCACTCAACTACTACTGTCATTGATGTCTCAAACCAGTTTGATTTTGAAGACTGTGTGGCTACAGATAGCAGTTTATTTCCCAAGTTACCAAATCCTGAAGTTGCTACAGGAGTGCTAACTGATGTAAAAATTGAACCAGAAAGTCGGTGATAATGATGAAGAAGGCAACAATGATAATCATGACGTGCATGAGGAATAAGTGATTGAACTGGCAAGAGTGAACATTTCTGAAGCCTTTGCAAGTGTAGAAAGTGCTTAGAACATTCCTTTCTCTTCAAGCAGATGTTCCTCTTGAGGTGCGTACCTGATCAAGTGGTATAGATGAACATTCAGTGTCTACTGCAACACAATGTATTTTGAAAAGCCAAGTTCCTAGTTTTCTCCTTAACTATGAAGTTGTGAAAATATTGATTTTATAACGTCTATAAAATAGTAAGCTTAATGAATACTTATACTGGCCAGGTGTGGTGGCTCATGCATGTGATCCCAGCACTTTGGGAGGCAGAAGCAGGATTGCTTTGTGGCCAGGAGTTTGAGACCAGCCTGGGCAACATAGTGAGACCTACCAAAAAAAAAAAAAAGCCAGGTGTGGTGGTGCATGCCTGTAGTCCTAGCTACCTGGGAGGCTGAGGTGGGAGGATCACTTGAGCCCAGGTGTTTGAGGCTGCAGACTGCAGTAAGCTATGATCACACCACTGCACATGCATTCCAGTCTAGGCAATCAAGTAAGACTCTGTCTCAAAAAAAAAAAAAAAAAAAAATTGTACAAACAAAGCCCCAATGACATTTACTGTACAGTGATTGCAGCATTCCCCCAAATAATTTTACTATATTGTCATTTATGTCTATCTTTGGAAGCTTTCTTTCTCTACCTCCCCTCTTTCAACCCTCACCTCCCATCCCAGCATTAGATGGCAGAGATGATAAACTAAGCTTTTGCCTAATAATACCTAGAAGAGAAAAATATTCCCAAAGTGCTGACATTTCAGCTAGGAAAACAAGAAGACAAAAGACACACTTGGATTTAATAGGATAGATTTAGAGTAGCTAAGATAAAAAAGGATATTAAGATTAAGGAGATAGCAGGGCATGTCCTACCCAGAAAGTTGCTAATTGGCAAAGGAGGAGTGAGTACAAACAGCTCCTTATCTTACTGCTTGGGAAAATGAGTTCGTGGGTGGTCGTGGAGGAAGACAGAGGAGCAGTGGAGGAAACCGGCCAGGAGTGAATCTGTAGGAGAAGATAATGAGCAAAGGAATGCTGATCCTTCCCTCAGGGTGGGGTTCTGGAGGGGCTGTTGAAAGGTGAGGAGGAGTGAAAACAAGGAAATAAAGAAAGGAACAGATAACCTACTGGCCTCACCTACTCTCAGTCCTGGTTTCATGTGATACCACGTGACTCAGACCAGCAAACAATTCTCCCGTCTTCTGTAAAAGTAGGAAAACAACCTTTGCCCACAGCTTTTATTTTGAGGTGAAAATTAAAATAATGAATGAAATTAACAAATTAAACTTAAAACACCATTTACAAAGTGCATAATACAAAGTAATAAGATAACTGACAATCACCTTTGGTATGTATCTGGGTTGGAATTCAAAGAAAGAATTTAAGAATGACTTTTTAAAGAAATTTATCAGAGAAGCACAATTATGAAGGGAAAAAATATATTATTTTGTTTTTAGATAATAACTCATCATTGATGAAGATGTCTTCAGCACCTGAGCCTCCAGCATTCAAAAAGGAACCACCCAAAGAGAAAGACTTTCAAAGCCCGGGGCTCAGAGGGGTGCGCACAACAACCTTATTTCGTGCTGTGAATCCAGAGCTCTTCATTAAACCTGTAAGAAATATATCCAGGATAAGACTTTATTTTTAATCTAACCAGACTGTCAGGAAGTTCTGATTTTCTTGTAATTGATTTTATCATGGAAATTTTATGTTGACAAGACCTCCCTGTGAATAAAAGCAGGTGGAAGGACGATTGTAAATGCTGTTTCACATATAAATACACATATAAAAATATTTTAAGGGCATTTGAGAGTTATAATGGAAAATGGTTGCACTTTAATGGATTGGCTTCTCAAACTATCTAAAGTACTATTTTAATCGTTGCATTAATTTGAAGACAACTTTTGTTGTTTGATCAAGTACTATTAGCAAAACACAGGCATGATTCCTGTGGGATCCCCTGAGGTCCTCCTGTAAGAAGGCTGCAACCAAATGTGGTGTTTGAACCAATCTAGCACTCAACTACTACTGTCATTGATGTCTCAAACCAGTTTGATTTTGAAGACTGTGTGGCTACAGATAGCAGTTTATTTCCCAAGTTACCAAATCCTGAAGTTGCTACAGGAGTGCTAACTGATGTAAAAATTGAACCAGAAAGTCGGTGATAATGATGAAGAAGGCAACAATGACCTTCCATTTAAGCAAGGAAACCAAAATGAAAATCTGACCATTCTTACATACTGCAATTCTAGCCTGTAGGTAATATTTTTATCTAAGCAATATTACAGATACTTTGTGAAAAATTCCAAAACATTTGATTTGATGAAATTCATTTATTCATTTATTCATTAGAGGTTCTGTCACCCAGGCTGTAGTGCAGTGGTACAATCATAGCTCACTGCAGCTTCAAACCCCTGGGCTCAAGGGATCCTCGCACCTCAGCCTCCTGGGTGGCTGGGACTACAGGTGCACACCTTCACGCCTGGCTCCTTTTTAAAATTTTTTGTAGAGATGGTGTTTCAGTATATTGCCCAAGCTGGTTTTGAACTCCTGGCCTTAAGCGATTCTCCCACCTCAGCCTCCCAAATTGTTGGGATTACAGGCATGAGCCCACGCCTGGCTGAGTTTATTTTTAAATAAATGTAGATTCTATTTTAAAATAAATGTAAAATCAAGTTAAAATAAAATATGATAAATATTTAAGTGTGTTGAATCTGATTAGAATTTTAGTAACACAGTTACCAGTGTAAACTGTTAAATAGGTCAACTTAATCAGATCATTAAATCAAGGTAAAATTTTTTTTTTTTGAAACGGAGTCTCGCTCTGTCACCCAGGCTGGAGTGCAGTGGTGCGATCTCCACTCACTGCAAGCTCCGCCTCCCGGGTTCACGCCATTCTCCTGCCTCAGCCTCCCGAGTAGCTGGGACTAGAGGCGCCCGCCACCGCGCCCGGCTAATTTTTGTATTTTCAGTAGAGCGGGTTTCACCGTGTTAGCCAGGGTGGTCTCAATCTCCCGACCTCGTGATCCGCCCGACTCGGCCTCCCAAAGTGCTGGGATTACAGGCATGAGCCGCTGCGCCCGGCCCAAGGTAAAATATTTTAAAAGCTTTGAAGTAATGTGTTCTTTTAATTGCTAAAAGCATTTCAAGAATTATAAATTTAAACTGCTCTGAGTCCGTGTCCTTTCTTAGGTGTTCATCTAAGTGAAAAAGTTTGACCCTTATTTTGAAATAGAAATGTCACCTAAAGGAATAAACTGAGGCAAATTAATATATGTAGGGAGTTTATTTGGGCCAAGGTTGAGGACTGCAACCTGGGAAACACTTCACAGTAACCTTGCGAAGCACTCTGGAGAACAAAGGAGAGGGTGGAATTTTTCAGGAAAAAAGTGAATCAGGAGAGGGGGCAAGTACAAAAGTTGCTTTTCAGTAATTTTCATTGGTTTGCAGAAATGACATTGATTAGTAATTGGCTATACATTGTTGAATTACAGAGTATGAGTTATAATGTCTAGTGGATGGCATTGTAAGGTTAATTTATAGCTATTGGTGGTGTCAGTCCAGAGCCCACATAGCAAAGGCTTCAAAATTATTATTTAGCTCAAGACGTGACTACTAGCTCATTCCAGTGCCTCTTTGGGCCTGATAATTTAAAGGGGGCTCACATTCCTCAGTTAAAGAGTTTCTTTTATTTCTCAGTAGTGGTATAGCAGGTATGGTGACAGAAGCAGAAACTATTACTTGTATCACTACTGTGGATTTACATTGACCTAAGAAAGGCCAATTCGTTGAGTGTGAACGTGCAAAGAAAATGGTCTAAGGTACAGTTTCAGGAATAACAAAAATGCTTTTCTGGAGTTGTGAACATCTTTCCTGTATTTAAAAGCTTTTTTTGGGGGGGGTGTGGGGGTTGGACATCATGACTAATGTCTGCAATCCCAATACTTGGGGAGGCTGAGGTAGAGGGATCTCTTGAGTCCAGGAGTTCAACATACCGAGACTCTATCTCTACAAAAAAATTTAAAATTAGGCTGGCCACAGTGGCTTACGCCTGTTAATCCCAGCACTTTGGGAGGCTGAGGTGCGCAGATCACTTGAAGTCAGGAATTTGAAACTAGCTGGCCAATATGGTGAAACCCCGTATTTATTAAAAATACAAAAAAAATTAGCCAGGCATGGTGGTGCACACCTGTAGTCCCAGCTACTTGGGAGGCTGAGGCAGGAAAATCACTTGAGCCCGGGAGTTTGAGACTACAGTGAGCTATGATTGCACACTGCACTCCAGCCTGGGCAGCAGAGTGAGATCCTGTCTCTTAACATCAACAACAACAACACAGCTTTTCTGTGTGTGTGTGTGTGAAGCTGAAAACATAACTTTGCCTCTTAGGGTCTTGGATTGTCCAAGAGTAAATCAAGGTTAACAGCATAATAGCTGTTCCAATCACTAAATTTCTTGAGGTTATGGAGTAGGTTCCCAGCGAAGAGTGTATACATCATCATCATTTCTGTGCCTAATATATAAAAGGTTTTTTGCCAGTTATTCATGACTTGGGCAAGAAGAATAGCGTGTGTACTTCAATCCTCACTTCCTAATAAAATGAACTAATTTGAGGTTTGCAAATGGAGGGACTTGGGCCCAGGACCCAGGAAGTTAAGCAGCTCCTCCACTTCACACAGATAACATTGAAAACTCTGGGTACCAGGCCAGTTTTCCTGCCCCACTCCTTTCCCAGCTGTCACCTTCCTGAGGGTAGAGGTCTGAGATGTCCAGGGTGTAGATGGGAGAAAGACTGGAGAGGAGAAGCAAGAGTCTTCTATAATCTCTGGATAATCAGTAGTTTAGCTAATTGAACAAAGAACTGAATAAATGATTATAGTTGAAATATTGCCATGGTAATGCTAGTGTTGTAATAACGATGTGGCATGTCAGGAGGAAAATGCAACTGATATTTGGGTCTCCTCAAATTGTTAGTCTTACTAAAGCTTTATACTTTTTTTTTTCTTTGACAGAACAAACCTGTAATGGCTTTCGGATTGGTAACTCTTTCACTTTGCGTGGCATATATTGGTTATCTGCATGCAACACAAGAGAATAAAAAGGACCTCTATGAAGCTATTGATAGTGAGGGGCACAGTTACATGAGGCGGAAAACATCCAAATGGGATTAGTAGTGCTGGTTACTGCAGATGGACGTTTATTAAGCGTTCTGAAATCTTCAACTGAAAGACCTTGTGAGTGTACAGTATCATATTTCTTGTTCTAGAACATGCTAATGAAGACAGAAGATAGCAGTTGCAACCAGACAACTGTCGTAAATTTTGTCCTTTCACAGCCGTTATCTCATTCTTTTTCCACAGAGCGAGCTTCATAATATTTTTCTTTCCTTGCCTCTTATAAAAGTGCCATGAGAATGGAAGTTGTCTTTGTTAATTATTAAATTCTGTATAATAAAAGTACCCATGCTGTTAAATTTGCATGATGTTTTAAATATTTTAAGATGAATTATGCTGGTGCAGCTGTCGTGAAAGTTTAGTTGTGTTTTGCTACTTGCAAAGGAAATGTTCATGTTCTCCCTGGCATAGAACCTATATTTTTAAAGAAAGATAAATAGAAAATTTAAAGCCTGAAGTCAATATTAAAAATATGAGATATGAGAAACTGAGTTGGCTCTGAGAAGTAGTTCTTATAGTGTCACAAATGGTTCATATATTTCAGTTTCCATTTTAGCTATTTTTGGGGCAGAATTTTATTTTAATGGAAAAGATCCTTCCACTCAGCTGCTAAAATAAAGATTAAATAAGAATATCCCAGAGTAATTGGAGTTTTTCTTTAAAAAAGAAAGTATGTTTTACTGAGGTATGATGATTTTGACTACAACTAAATGTTATCTATTTTAGTTTTTGTAAATTAATGTTACAGTAATGTTGTAAACATAAGACCAAGTGTTCTAAATAAAACTACAACTACTCAATAGATAAGAAATAGATAAGGTCTCCTTATTGTACCAGGTTTACCTTACATGCTTTTTTTTTCTTTGAAGTTTATATGCCAGCAGGCCTTTTTGTTTTTTTTCTTTTCAGAATGTTTCTTATTCTCTGAAGCATCAGCATTTTGAAGTGTCTTTTATGGAAGTGGGGACAGAAAAGGGGGTAAAAATGAGTGTAAACAAAGCCGAGCCCCACTGTCAGCACCGAGCAGCAGAATGGCCTTGGTTGTCCTGGCACCTGGCCCAGGGGCCTAGGACAGAGGTCAAGGCTAGGCCCCTGTGTCTGGCCAGATTCTGCCTTATAGAATTCAAATCTTTATCATAAGGGTTCTGGACCTGTTTCATTTCTAGATATGTACCTAATTCTCCAAATCATTGTAATTGGGCCTCAGTAGTAAATCTCACCTCTGAAGTTTTGCTTCAGTTGCTATTAATATTACCAAGTAATAATAACAGCACAGGCAGAGTTTATCATAATGTTATTTTTAATTTATCATACTTCATTGTCGTTTTGTAAGGTATATGAATATGTAATTATGTGTGATTTGTAGGTATTAAAGAACTTAGCTAATTGAATTTACATGCAACTAAATAAAATCTTTACTACTGAGCCCCAAATATTTATTTGCTGTGCCTCTCTGTATAATGTACTCTATATAGTTTAAAATGCACTTCAGTGATACAAAATCCCTTTTAAAGACTGTCTTTTGTTTTTGGTTTCCCTGTGTATTTTGGCTGTCAAAAAACTAGGGTTCTTCTGTTTTTAACTTATGCATTTAATGACACATTGCCATCTTTTAGAATTTTTTACTATTTAACAGAATAAGTTGATGTTTGGTGGCAGAGGAGATATTAGTTGCGTGAACTGTCAAGAGATTGCAGTGCAGGAGGGCAACAGAAACTGTACAAGGTGCAGACTTAACTCATGTAAGATTTGTGTGAATCAGCCAAAGTAACTAGAGTCAGTCAAACACAAAGCTGTGAAAAGTAGTGTGAGGAAAGAATCATACTGAATTTTAGGAACAAGTACCTGACTATGATACTTTTTACAGAATGGCTACAAGTTGTAGGACAGTTTTTGTGTGTGCTGATGTCAACGGCTGCCTGGCTATGTGTTGATGTTTTCATCCTTTCTCTTTTGAATGAGGGTACAACCATCAAAAATAAAATACCTTTCAAATAGTCCGAAGATTCTGAACGTTGAACTTCACCTGATCCAGTCGTGTCAGTTTATGGTTAAGACAATAGGCTGAGAATGGCTAAGAGATTTACCAAAGATCATGGTGATTCAGGACTAGAACCTGTATCTTCTTGCTCTAAAGTCTAGGGATCTTTTCACCATACTATACCACCTCCTATGTGTAAATGTCCACATAATAATAAAGCAGCCACATTAGCTCTTAAAAATAAGTTTAGATCTTAAGTAGAGAAACACTCCTGTACTTTAAAACAGAATTATGTAAAGGACTGTTAACTGCCAGCTCCCTCAAAAGACCATCAGAACAACCTGATGATCAAACAAAACTAAGCTTATTGAATCTACTGCACTAAGGGGAAATACCACTTTTACAAAGTTAGCTGTATTTAAGAAGGGGATGGTCAGGGGAAGATGTTAAAGTGTTTTGAAGTCTGAGTTCAGGTGATTAAAGAAGGGTCTTTCAATGCAGGAATCCGGTTGAGAATGGGCAAGACACCTGACATAATAGATTAGATCTTGAAGCAAGTCTTGATTAGTAAGCTATTGTTCAATAAATGTTAAGTGAGCTCTTTGCCCAGGGGAGTAATCTAATCTTCTGATGGAAGAGCTCTTTGCCTAGATCAGCAAGCTGTCCAGTTGATAAATTTGTTTTCAAGGATTTCCTAGGGCAAACACTGAAATTACTTATTGGTTTTACAGCGTTATCTTCCATAGGGGTCCAACTCTTCCAATTTGCCAGACACTAAGGAAGTTCTTCAGGACTTTCAGTTTAAAACAGGGACAGTCCCAGGCAAATTAAGGCCAGTTAGTTATCCTCTCATCTGGGCAAGAATTTCTAGTAACAGATAGGAAAGTCATTGGCACAAGTAGCCTCAGTTCCCAATCCAGATAATTAACTGTGTGGATGCAGTAATCCCCATTCTTAGTACTAATTCATCTCTTTGTTTTTAATTCCTCTCCAAGTCCCAGGTAACCCTTTTCTTGAAGTCAGATCTGGCACAATTTGATAGTTACTTAAGGTCCTCAGCCAGTTATCAGGCTGTATGTGTCAATAGAAATTATAGAGTAACTTGTGCTACACTTAGCTCAGGGCCTTATGGGAGTCCTATTGTTGAAATTAATTTCACTGATGGTATTCACTTATTATAAAATAGTCCTGCCAAGTAGCTGCAGCATATGACGTTGTCAGGCAATTTTTAAAAATTCAGTTATTTGGTGTAATCAGTTGCACAGATTTTTGTGATAGGCAGAATTTCTATGGCTGTTTAAAATTAGAAGAACAAATTAGTTAACCACGTGATTGTTAAAACCAGGCTTAGTAATTTTGAATGCTGACTTAATGAAAGTAATTTCTTCTTCAAGATACCATGATATTTCCCCGTTTTATTACCATGGCACCAAAACATCACGTTTATTAAAAACCTTAAAGAAATTAAGCTACCTCCATTGCTGGCCTTAAAAGAAATTAATTCTTTAAAAACCAATTTAAAACAAAGTGTGGTAGTCTGACTAATGCTTTCCTTTCTTGCAAAAATGTCCAGATCCTAATCTCTGGAACCTGTAAATATGTTACTTTATATGGCAAAAGGGACTTTACAGATACTGGTAAGTTTAGGATTTTAAGATGGGGAGATTATCCTGGATTATCTAGATGAGGCTGATATAATCACCACAGTCTTTAAAGCAGGGCAGAAGATCGGAGGAAGAGACAATGTCACTATGGAAGCACTGGGGGGAAAGGCTATGTGATGCGAGGCCATGACCCCAAGGAATATGGATGGTCTTTAGAAGCTGGAAAAGGCAAGGAAACAGATTCTCCTCTGAAGCCTCCAGAAGGAACCAGCCCTTCTAACAACTTGATCTTAGCCCCTAAGACTCATTTTAGACTTCTGATCTCCAGAAATGCAAGGGGATAAATTTGTGTTACATTTAAGCTATGAAGTTCGTGTTAGTTTGTCACAGTGGTGCTATGGTTTGAATATTTGTCCCCTGCAAAACTCATGTTGAACTTTAATCCCCAATGTGGTAGTATTGAGAAGTGGGGCCTTTAAGAGGTGAGTGAATTCATTCATGGGTTAAAGGATTAATGGATTATCGTGGGAGGAGAACTGGTGGCTTTATAAGAAGAGGAAGAGAGGCCTGAGCTAGCATGTGAGCTCAGCCCCTGGCCATGTCATACCCTGTACCACCTCAGGACTCTTCAGTGAGTTCCCACCATCAAGACAATTCTTACCTGATGCAGCTCCTCCACCTTGGACTTCTCAGCCTCCATAAACTGTAAGAAATAATTTCCTTTTCTTTATAAGCTATCCAGTTTCAGGCATTCTATTATAAGCAACAGAAAACAGTAAGACAGCAGCAATAGGAAACTAATATAGAAAGTATCAGGAAAATGAATGGCTGTATCATGCTCCCTTTTGTCATTATTTGAAGTTGCTTTTATGAGCAAAGCTTGTCTTACCTAGCAACAGTTGCTAAGTAAGTTAACAACTTAATGCTAGAGTTTGGGAAGGAGCAACTGCTTAAATCTTCCCAAATCTGGTGCCCATACCTTCTATGGCAGGGGCTTTTAGTACCATTCTTTAATGTTAGACACATAACCACTACCTAATCATGTGAACCATTTAATCCTTACCAGCCTCTAACATCCTAAAACCCTGAACCTCTTCCAGCTTTCTTAAACTGTCAGCTTTTCTTGAAACGACTTTTTCTGATTCTAAGATTATTTTAACTGTAAATAGGAGAAGACATCTGAAATTTAACTATGATCAGAAATTCAGATTACAACAGCTTTGTTTGCTGTGCTGTTTGTAATAAAATAATCCCACCAGCCCCTTTTGGAAAAACCTTCAAACGGATCCATGAATACAAGCCACTGAAGACACGCTTTTACACTCACAAAGACATACTAGGTAAGTGACTTTATTGTTTTCCTTCGTTGTAACACTTCATAGCGTTATGTGTCATTCTTTCTGGTACACAGACTTTTATCAGCTTTTTTCTCTTCAGAGTTGCTTGTCTGTACAGGGATGTTTGAGAAGAATATGGGTTGGAATACAGCTTCTCCACTTATAGTTGTGTGTATTGGGCAGGGTATTTAGTCTCTCAATCTGTTTCCTTATGTGGAAATAAAGATACTAATACCTATCTTACAGATTGTTATGAGACTTTAATGAAGTATTCGTATCTATTATAAATCCTAGCACATAATAGTAAATGTGAGTTCATTTTGCCCTTGGCCATACTTGGGCACCTTTCAGTATGTGTAGGAGAGGAAATATTATCTCTAAATAATACCCTAATTGGATGGGCACAGTGGCTCACACCTGTAATCCCAGCACTTTGGGTGGCCAAAGTGGGCATATCGCTTGAGGCCAAGAGTTCAAGACCAGCCTGGCCAACATGGCGAAACCCCGTCTCTACTAAAAGAATTTAGGCAGGCATGGTGGCATGTGCCTGTAATCCCAGCTACTCGGGAGGCTGAGGTGAGAGAATAGCTTGAACCCAGGAGGTGGAGGTTGCAGTGAACTGAGATCGTGCCACCGTACTCCAGCCTGGGTGACAGAGCGAGACTCTGCCTCAAAAAAAAAAAAAAAAAAATTTAAAGTACCCTAATAAATGGGTAAAAGAAACTATAACCTTTAAATAGTAGCTGGTGGCATAAAAGTAGATACATATAGATAACATGAGGACTTTTACTGTATATACATATGTATAATACATAAGCAAATCAAATTGTGCTATAGGTTTCCATCTCTCTTTTATTCTCATAAGAGTTTTCAATCTGACCTTGAGCCTTGTAAGTATTTTCCTAAGGACTCTCAAAATACTCCTCTGATCCTCTCTTCCTTTAAAATGGTAAACTGAGGTGATTTCATTTCACTTCTGGTATTTGAAAATATAAGAAGCTGGAGAGGTGTTTGGAAAAAAAAACTAAAATGTAGAGGGAGATCAAATTGGGATCATCCTCTAAAAACATCAGTACCAAAATTGTTTTTTAGCATTTAGTAAATTCTTAGTATGAATGATTCATTATAATCTCTAAAGTGACTTTTCATACCCAGGACAGTGTATCTCCATTCTTAGATATACCTTAATGATTGATTTCCTTGTGCCTTATGGAATATCTAACCCAAACCTTAAGTGGATAAGTTAAATCTATTGTTAGAAATTAATCTTTTCTATTCAGTGACCTTTATTTGTCGCTGAACTGTTTTAAGTTAAAAAGAAAAAAAGTTGAAATTCTCTGTTCTTTATAAGTAAGTTCAAAAGCATGTTGAAATGTCCATAGAAGAGCTAGTGAGTATTTCATAGGACAATAGTTCTCAATCCTGGCAGTGCACTATATAGAACTTTGAAAAATACATTAATACAGATATCCAAACACAGACCCACTGGATTTAATACTAATCTAACACAGCCACTAAATTAGGACCTCTACAGTCAGGATTAAGCATGTGTATTTTTTCCTTCATGTTTAAATAACCTTTTTTATTTCAAGATAGTTTAAGACTCACAAGTTGCAAAATATATCAGAGTTCCCTTGTACTCTTCATCCAGCTTCCATTGATATCTTATGTAATCCTGGCACTTTGCAAAGCCGGAACATTGGCATTGAAACAATACTATTAACTCAGGTACAGACCTTATGTATACTTTTTTCCCCCAGGCATATAGTTTTATGAAATTTATCACTTGTGTATGTTAATGTAACCGTCACCACAATCACAACATGGAGCTGTTCCATCGCCACAAAGGAACTCCCTCGTGTTACCCCTTAGCTGTCATTCTCTTCTCCCCAAACTTGAACCCCTGACAACCACTAATCTGTTCTCTATCACTATAATTTTATCACTGAGTATGCTATCTAAAGAATCATACATTACATAACCCATTGAGATTGGCTTTCTTCGCTCAGCATAAGGCCCTTGAGATTCATCCAAGTTGTTTATTAATAGTTTTTTCCTTTTACAGTACGTGCACTAAAAGCTTTGCAGGAGTCCTGTTGTACAATCAGGGTTGAAAACAACTAATAAAACCAATGGGATTTAAACATGAAAGAGGATAGCGGTAGCCTACGCCTGTATCACATTTTTATGAAGTTCAATACATTGATGGTCCATGCTTAGTCACATTTTGTCCTAGAAAATCTTTTCTAATTATTTCTATACAATGTTGGGCTTTTGCAGTATGTGTCCATCTCTACTGTAATATATGCTGCCCTGTGTTTTTAAGATTCACTGATGAACTAGTAGGAGACTCTCTGCCATCAAACATATCCTTTTAATTGCTAGTGACAGAAACATTAACTCAGAATAGATTGCATAAAATGGAATTTCTTGACTCTTTTAACAGAGAAACCCAAGGGAAATCTGGCATCAAGGCTTTCAGTCTGTCTATGCTTACCCTTTTAGTGAGTTGGCTTAATGGTTTACTGCTGCAGCTAGACTTACTCCAGCCGCTGAAAGGAGGAATGTGGATCAAGATAGCTCTAAGAATCTATTACCTTCAGCATAGAAATCCCAGAGGAAGGGCAGGCACGGTGGCTCACGCCTCTAATCCTAGCACTTTGGGAGGCCGAGGTGGGCAGATCACTTGAGGTCAGGAGTTTGAGACCAGCCTGACCAACATGGTGAAAGCCCGTTTCTACTAAAAATACAAAAATTAGTCAGGTGTGGTGGTGGGCGCCTGTAATCCCAGCTACTCAGAAGACTGAGGCAAGAGAATCACTTGAATCAGGAGGCGGAGGTTGCAGTGAGCTGAGATTGCGACACTGCACTGCAGCCTGGGCTACAAAGCAAGACTCCCTCTCAAAAAAAAAAAAAAAAAAGAAAAGAAAAGAAAAAGAAAGAAATACCAGTGGAAAAAGACCTGGCTATCTGATATTGCGTGGTCCTCTAACCTCCTCTAGACTTTTATTACCTTGTCTGGGTAGAGAGGATATTATTATGGGAACGTTATTATTTGGAAATCAAATTAGATCATTGGCTGAAAAATAGTAAACTTCTACCCCTTAGCTCACTCCATACTGAAGCAGTTAAACCCACAAAGAACCACAGACTAAAGAAAGGCATGTAATGTGTTGAAGGCATTCCACTTCGCCTCTCCTGATGCTAGCACTAGCACCCAAATAGGAACAGGGGGAGAGAGAGAGCTGTATAATGTGCTAAGACCTCTTGAATATTCACTCATCATTCTACTTTGAGTGTACAAAATGTGTCTCTTTCTTCAGGGCATTTATTTCACCTCCCCAGTTGTCTGCTGGTTGTGGACTGGTTGTGATGAGAGGAATGACCAACTCTATCCAGGCCTGACAGTGCTGTGAATTCCCTCCTAATTAGAGAAAAACTTACTCTTTCAATGGGTATCTTTGAAATATATATACTGACATCTCCTAAAAGGATGTATCTCCTAAGTAGCCCTCATAAATAACTACATAATGGTGGAAAGGAAAGCCAGGAAGCAATCGGTAGAGGTTTGTGACCATTGCTCTTCACATACACAGATATTGGGGCAAATATTCTGAAAAAAGAAGAGAAGTTTCAAGAAGATATACTCAGAGAACGCATTGCAAAAGCAGAAGCTGAAGTATGGGCTCAGGTAAAAGAAGTTACATGTCAACCCAAAGTCCATCTTTACAATTCTTTCACATTTTGGATTTGTCTGAAACAACTGTATAGTGTAGTGGTCAGAACTGACTGAATCCTGGCTAGCTGTGGGACCGTGGGCAAGTTCTACAACCTCTGTAGTCTTGGTTTCTTCATTGTAAAAGAGGAATAATAGTACCCATTCTGTGGGATAGTTGGGAGGGTTCAATGAAATAATATGCCTGGCATACAGTAGATGCTTAGTAAGAAGCTGGCATCATCAGGAGCTTCCTTCCTTCTCAACTGCCCTCTCTGTATGGAGGACTCCTGCTCCCTTTATTTTCATTTGATTGAAACCAGAACTAAAAAGAAAAAAAAATAACTAAGAAGACTCCTTGTTGATAGTTGTTTCTTATGGCCTAACATTTAATATATAGACTATCCATTTGTGGAGCATGTAACACTCCTGTTTCTTCAAATGCTTCTCTATGGCCTACTCCCCTTTTCCTCCCCTCTCTCCAAAATCCTTAATACCTTGTCCATACGACTGCTGAGCGCTATAAGGGCAATTTAAATATCAGGGCTGACATTGGGATCCAAGGCATCAAACTGAAGCAAAGCCTCAATCCTGTAGCCCCACTTCTTCCAATCATAGAATGACATCAATAACTTCCTAAAGAGAATTATAGCTCCTTGAGAGCAGAACAAGCCACTGTGCTTAGAACAATGTTTCTCAGTTTCTTTATAAAATAGACATTATAGCAAATAGTATTAGCATTGTTCAGTATTAATGCCAGCAAAAGCTTGTTATGAAAATGTTTTGAACATACATAATACTCCAGTTCTGTATGAATACTCCAGTTCTGTATACCCCAGATTTTGATTTATCTCAAAATCTTTGTAGTCATCTATTTTTATTAGTGGTAAAATTCAAACTGATTGTGAACCATCAATTATACATCAATTATACAAGGTGATGCTTTTGTAAATAGTCTACAATTTGAATGTAAGTTGGTCTAGTGTTCTGTGTATTCTTTTCAAATAGAGTTGAAGTTCTTTCTGAGGACCTAATGCGGGGGACCTGGATGGTACTCTGCCTCTTTACTCGGCTCCTTCTAGCTTTGTACATCTTTTCACTTCACTGTGTTTTCCAGATTTTCCACAATGCACATATGTTACTTTGAGAGTCAATCAAGCAAGAAATAAAGTGCCAAAGAGAAAAGGCAACCCAGCAGCCTACGTATAGTAAAGCTGCCTTGCCTTTAGCGATTCCAGAAACGGCAAGGCTAGCCCTGGATTGGGATGCGTTAGAGCATCTCTGGCTAAGGCAGAGAGTTTGATATGGGAGGTTTGAGATGGGAATGGGGCAAGAAATTAGGGACTCCATGGTGGTTGCTAATTTTCAGTAAATTTGAAAACCTGATTTACTAACATCCCGAATAAGCCAAGTTGCCCTGTGCTTATTCTGCTACATTAATAGATAAATGGACTCTTTCTTTCAAAGGCTAATGAACGTCAAAAACAAGCAGTGGAGAAAGCACTTGAAGAAGCAAATGACAGACACAAAATTGAAATTCAGATTTTGAAAGAGGAACATCAAAAAGATTTACAGGTTTTTATAGTGGCTTGTTGTCTTTTAAAAGTAATTATATTAGTAAAAAGAAAAAAAAAGTTGGCAAGGGAATGAGAAAAAAATAATAAGAAAATCTAGGTTGGTGTTTCATGGCCATTAGCTGGGATCCCTGGGAGGTTCTCAGAAGAGATGCTGAGCTCTCTAGAGCAGTGATGAATGGGTGAAGAAGAACCCATAGCTTACTTCCCAAGGGAAGCTTTGCCTGACCAGCCTTGCCTTGCCACCCACACACTGTCCATGACACCCTGATCTTTTTCATAGCAGTCTTCACTGTAATTAAATAAATGATTGTGTGGTTAGTTGTTGAATGTCTGACTCCCCCACATGACTGCAGCTTTCAGCAGGGGTGTCTGTCTCATCACTGGACTAGCCCTGGTGCCCAGCATAATTCCCTGACTTGGTAGGTGCTCAAATAGTTGAACAAGTGAAGCAGGCTGTTCTCCTTCTCTGATTTCTTCCTTTTTTCTAAAGTTTGCACTTACTGTGCTGCCAAGAGGGACATCTGAGCTGTCCCTCAAGAATTTAATGCAGGGCCAGATGTCACAGATGAAGGATACTAACCTGTAGCCTGTTCAGGTACATGACTCTAGGTAACTTACAAACTTTCAGGTGGAGACCCTAGTATTCATTGTTAGTTCAGTAACTGGATTACAAAATCTGCTCAAAGGAAAAGGTTACAGATCTATTTTCACATTTTGGTCAAGGGAGGGACAGGACAGGATAAGGTACAGGTATGACAATACATGGGCAGAAGCTGGAGGAAAGTGGCAGAGGTCCAGCCCCAGGTTTGGCCTAACTTAAGAACACTAATGAGCATTTCAGGGACTGCAGGCCAATTTATTCATTGTTGCAACAACGAGCACCTACCATATACTAGATGTGTACCAGGTGAGACAAATCAACTGTCTTTACCCAGAGAGGACTTGCTGGCAGGAAGGGGAGCTCCTCCCCAGGGCTTCTGAAGGCTTCGCTCCAGTGGCCTGCCTCAGCCAGGGTTAGTATGGTGCCTGAGGGGTTGGTTGTGGTGGCCCACTGCCCATTCCCCATTTCAGTTAAAATGTGAAGAGCATTTATAGCATGTCTTAGGCAGGCCTGCTCTTCAGTTGCTATGTACAAGTATGGCCATACTGGCAATTAAAGTATTAAAATACTTCTCTATCAGTTGATAACTAGTCACCCGCTAAGCCCTCTATCACCTTGGTCACCCTGGTTGCTTCCCCAGCAGACTCCTGGACCTGTCCCAATCCAGCAATTTAAAAGGATAACTCCAAAAAAAAAAAAAAAGGATAACTCATGGCTTGGCAAGGGGCTCTAGTTCCCTGCTATAATGCTGCAGCCAGAGGCCATTCAGATAGGTGGGCCCTACTGTGCTGGTTGATACACATTTTGAATGTCCTTCCTGGCATTAGGTTGTAAAGACATGAGGAAGATGTGATACCTGTTTCAAGGTTCACATGCAAGTCTTTCTTTAAATAATGTTATTGTACCCCACATAGCCTTTGAGTGGAGTTGATGCACTTAGTGCTTCAGTAGAAAGAAGCCCTAAGAAAAGTTAAAGGTAGATAGTTAAAGGGGGATTGACCTTCCTGAAATAATTGTCCAGGGGTTGGGAATTTACATTTATACCACCATTTCAGGTATTTTTTATTTATGAAGGAATGATTAGTCTAGAGTAGTGTGTGGGGTTATTTCAGCCTGTTATATCTGCAGGATACTAAGACACAGACATCAGTACTGCTTCTCAGGGCTTGTCTGTGAACCACCTGCATCAGAATCTATTCACGTGGGGGCCTGACATACAGATTCCTGGGCCTCATTCTGACCTACCGACTCCATCAGCAGCCCAAGTGATTCTCACACATATTAAAGTTTGAGATTACCAATATATAGCAGAAAACCAAGTTCCTCTAGAACAAAATATTAAATTCTGATGTGTCGAGACCACCAGGGATTGCTCTAAAGAGTTTGGTGTATTTCCTGCACAGGGGAAATTGCCCCATCCAGACCTGGCTCCACTCTTGAGTTCTTTTGTCCTCTTCTGCTCTTTTCCTGGTGCTCTTTTTTCTTGTGGGGTGTGGGTAATAGAACAGCCATGGGCTTTTGGGGACCTTTAACTTTTTTTTTTCTTTTGTTTATAAAAACACTAAACATTCAATTCCAGAGAACCAAAAATCTCACCTTCCCACCGAACACTGCTAAGGGGCCTGTGTTCTGCTTCATACCTTTTCTCTTTTCTTTCTGTCTTGTTAATGCTTTTAAAAACAAATGAGTTTTTTATATAAATAAAGTTTTTAAAGTGTTAAAAAAAAAGGAGTTTGATGTGTTTCAAATGCAAGCTGTTAGATAAAATTTCTAGATCTTATTTGATGGATAGGTAATCTTTTGAAAAGGTGTTTATATTATTGAAAGATAATAATATCAAAAAGTAAATGAGAAGATGAAAGCTAAAGGAAAAATAAATGAAAAACTAGAGTAGAAAATATAATAAAGTCATAGGTAAATTTAAAACTTAAAAATGTATATATGCCATGATGTCCTGTGCAGTTATCACTGATTGGACCTTGAGCTTTCTGGCAGCCAATGCAAAGAGGGAAATGCTGTGACTCACCATGCCCATAAGGTACAGACAAATTAGGCACCTGAGAGGCTCAGATATTCCTGGCTATGAAACCTCAGAGCAGTATCTCCTGAGGGGGACATTGTGTAAAAATGCCTGTCAAACATCTGTACAGTTAATACGATGCAGTCCATGAATCTGTTTCTTACAATATCTCAAAATGTGGGGTGACTCACTCAAGATGCATTTCAGTAAAAGCATTTCATTAAAAGTAAAAGCAATGTAAGGCCTCCTTACATTGAATAAGAACACCGACAAACAGCAGGTTACTTAATTATTTTTGGAGCTTTAAATATATATTCCACATGCTATGTGAGACAGTAAATGAATTTTGGTTTTATTAAATCATTACATAAAAGAGGGACTGAGTTCAATTATCTGAATTCCTAGTTAGTAATTAGGAATCAGATAATTTCTAATTATCTGAATACCTGCTTCAGAACCCAGCCAAAGTAAAGGGCTGGAATGTCATTTTTAAATTCTATGATTCAATAATTTATTGTATGTTTAAAAATGACTGAAAGAGTATAATTGGATTGTTTGTAACACAAAGAAAGGATAAATGCTTGAGGTGAGGGATATTCCATTTAACCTTGTGTGATTATTACACATTGTATGCCTATACCAAAATACCTCATGCACCCACAAAAATTGAAAATTAAAAAAAAAAACAAAAACACAATCACTTTGTGCCAAAAAAATTCAGGCATACAACAGTCTCACACCACCTTATTGACACTGACTTTTTTTCCTTCTTCAACAGATGTTTGCAAGAGTTCTATTAAATACATTTCATTCTGAAAAAAATTAATGATTCATATAGGAATATATTATGGTAGTACTTCACCTGTCTTAAGCTCAACCATCACCCAGCAGTCTGAATTACTGAGAATGTACTTGAAAACCCAGAAGTAAGTTAAAATATCTCCCTAAGGAATTAAATAAAGGCCTCTGACTACAAGAGAGTAACTCAGGCTTATTACACATAGCAGAACCTCTTCACCCCCACTCAGATGTCATTATGCTTATTTGACAACCTAAACCCAACAGACTTAGATGCTTAATTTTTCTTTTGTTTTCTTTTCTTTTGAAATGGAGTCTCTCTATAGCCCAAGCAGGAGTGCAGTGGTGCGATCTCAGCTCACTGCAACCTCTGCCTCCTGAGTTCAAGTGATTCTCCTGCCTCAGCCTCCCGAGTAGCTGGGATTACAAGTGTGCACCTCCACACCCAGCTAAGTTTGTATTTTTAATAGAGACAGGGTTTTGCCATGTTGGCCTGGCAGCCAGACTGGTCTTGAACTCCTGGCCTCAAATGATCTGCCCTCCTCAACCTCCCAAAGTGCTGGGATTATAGGCATGAGCCACCACACCCAGGAGGGTTGCTTGATTTTTCAAATTGGAAATAGATTAAATACTGGAAAGTAAAAATAACAAAAAGGGGCTCACTGATAGCAGCTACAGCAGCATCCTCAGCCTGATGGCAAGTAATCTTCCTGTTCTTTGAAGAAAAGAAAAATTTGATTTGATACCTACAAGGAACAAAGATGAAATTTCAAAAAGCAAAACAATCTGGGGTCGTTTATGACAGATAACAAGTGGCTCTATGAACTTCAACAATTATTAAATGCCACATGAAGTTTTTGGCCCAGTACAACCATTCATCTTTGTCTACCAAGCCTGGATCATCAAGAAAGTGTTAGATTGTTTCATAATGTTCTTTTTATGGTGTTAAAGACATTTAGAAACATTTCCATTCAAAATATTTTGTCCAAAAAAATTTTAGTAATTTAAGAGACAAAGCCTTCTGGTAGCAGAAGACAAAGCCTTCTGTAGGAAACCCAGCTAGCATTTCTAAATGGCCAATGTTTTCCTAAAATGATTTTCTAAATATATCAACTGAGGCCACTTTGGAGAGATTCTTAAAGTTGATTTCTGGTGTCTGTTTCATTTTTTAACTTTTCACCCTTGAAGTAGCCAAAGTGAGAAATTGAGAACTTTTTCTCTTGAAAAAGCTGAAAGGTCTGTCTTAACAAATATTTTAATTGTTGAAATAATCTTCTGAGAAGCTGAAGCAATTTCAGTTTTCATTATAATTTAGAGTTCTCTTGACTTTCTCTCAGCTTCAGCTGAGGAATCTCTGTGGACACTGTAAACAGCTGGCTCTCTCAGGGGCTCCCGTAGAAATGGTGCTAAAGGGAGTTGAGCAATCTTCAGCCAGGAGAACTCTTACTGGTTTTATTCCTTTCTATTCTGGGTAAGATTTCATTTAAAGAAGGGATTCTGCAGCTATTGAAAACCAAAGAAAACCCACTGTACTATGTCTTACAAGACTGTACAATTGATGAATCTCTTGAAAGACTCCGGCATCGCAGCCAGGAATGAAGTGAGAAACTGGCAGTCAGCAACCCTGGCTTCTATCCCTAGTTCTTCCATTGATGTGCTATGTGAAATAACTTAATTTCTCTATGTTCTTTTGATGTCTTCCCAAATAGAGATAAACATTTACCTTTGGGCCAGGCACAGTGGCTCATGCCTGTAATTCCAGCAGTTTGGGAGGTCAAGATGGGCAGATCACTTGAGCCCAGAAATTCAAGACAAGCCTGGGCAACATGGTGAAACCCTATTTCTACAAAAAATAGAAAAATTAGCCAGGCATGGTGGCAAGTGTCTATAGTCTCAGCTACATGGGAGGCTGAGGTGGGAGGATTGCCTGAGCCTGGGAGGTCGAGGCTGAAGTGAGCCGTGATTGTGCCATTGCACCCCAGCCTGGGCAACAGAATGAGAACCTGTCTCAAAAAAAAAAAAAAAAATTACCTTTAAGTGAAAATTTTAAAATACGTGGACAGAATGATTTGCTCCTCCTCTTTATAATGTTATATTTCTACGTATTGTTATATTTCTGTAACATGTATTGCACAATTAGGTTGTTGGCCTCCTCCACTAGACAGTGAATCCCCTGAGGACCAAGATCCCCACCTTCTTGTGTATGTAGCATCTGGGCCTCGGAGTGCCAGGCACACTGTGGTATTAGTAGGCATTTCCAAAATGGTGGCAGGGTTTTCCTTGAGCGCAGTTTGTGGGTCTGTTTTCCACAGGTGTTGGTTTGACTAGTGCTTCGTCTACTTATTTGGTTGAAGGCCCTCCTCAGTCCTCCTTCCTGGAACAATGGAGCACTGATTCCTGTCCCTTCCGCGAAGGAGAAATGGCCCCTCAACACTAATAAGTTGGAATGCTGAAACAATGGTGGGGACAGGTGGGCAGATTCCTGTGACTGTAATATCGTGCAATTGTTTTCTGCCTGAACCTCAGGTTCTCTCCCACCCAGGAGACACTCAGGAGGCATAATAATTATTTCTGCCATTTTCCAGGACTGGCTTACTAAAGCAGAATTGCATTATGTAATTATGCATAATGATACTATGATACTAGAATATTTGAACAATCAAGAAAAAAGACCTTTAACCCTACCCCTCTAACCCAACTATTTTCTTTTTTCCATATTCCCTTTCAATATTATCTATGTAGATATTTATATTACATTGTTTGTATATTTTTGGTTCTACCTAACATCCTATAAATAAAAGTTTTCCATATCATACACACTCTTCTTTTAAATCATCAGTGTTAACAGGTACACTTGCCAGCAGATAGATAAAACTATGGTTTAAATAGCCTCTTAATGTGTGGTTTTAGACATCAAATCTGTAATAGCTAAACCTAGTTTTGCCATTGCTTCAGGAAGTGACAGCTAAAACTAAGACAGAGATGTATCAAAACATGGATGACGAAATGAAGAGAGAGCACTTGGCTGCAGAACAGCGCATGGTCCACAGAATCCAAAGGATTATGATGGAATGCCACAGAGAGAAGGTGGAAGCTGTGGAGAAAGCCAGGGCTGAAGAAAGACTCATCGCCCAGAAAGCAATCCAGGCCCAGAAAAGGTATTCCAGAGAACTCATTTGCAAATTAGTATCTTCCTTTATCAAAATCAACCTGGAGAAACAGATAAGGTTACAGTACATAGGTAGATATTGCCCAGTTTTTGTGTTTTTACATTTTTATTATGGAAAATACCAAACATAGGGAGCAATTTATATTGTAGAGTATGTGTGTGGCTTAAAGAAAAATAATAACGTAAATACTAAAAAACCTACCACTCAGCTTAAGGGATTGAAAATTGCTGTTTTCTAAAGCTCTCATGTGTTCTTCCTCAATCATATCTTCTTCTTGTCCCTGCTTGAAAGATAGCTACTCTCTAAATATGGTATTTTTCATTCTGTATCACCAGTTTTAAGAAACCAAGGACAGGAATCAAGAAATCGTTTCCCGTAAACACATCATTAAAATCAATCTTCACATTCTCTAGCCTAGATCATACACTATTATGTTTGTGTTACTTTTTGGTCTTTTTCTTATTATACAAGTAATATATGTTGCAAAAGAAATTGACATTATGGAAATATATAGAGCAAAATTGCAAGTCCTGATGCATTTCTTCCCCTGCACCCTCCCTGCCTCCCAGAGACAGTTATTTTAAACAATAGAGTCTATATCCTTCCATGCCCTTTTGATGTGTTTACAGCCATATGTATGTGCATAATCACAGATCAGATCACACATATATATATTTTAAGACAACCAAGGTAACTATTTCTATATATGTAATCATTATTTGCTGGAACAGGACAGCAGTTAGGAGTTCAGGGATTGTCAGGGGCAAGAGAAAAAACGTAATTTCCAGATTTTTTTGTACCAGGTCATTTACCTGCCCACGATCACTGATTTGTAGCAGCAGAGCTGAGACTGAGACCTCCCTATTTGGCCTTTGTGACTGGTCCCTTTTGCTTTGCTGCTTGAGTTAACAAACAAATCCATTTCTATATAATTAATGGGTAAAATCTTTTTCATTAGAACTCTTTAGAACAGGGACACAGGTAAGATCCTGGAGGAGGTACAGATAAATGAGAATGAGAGCTGCAGCTGTGACAGTTTAACTGGTACCTCTCTTCCTGCATAGACTACAGGTCATTGTGGAGGTAGAAGACGAAGATGAGAGGGGATACCAGGAGGAGGTTAGGGAATGAGTCGTGGCTCAATGCACTGGAAGGTGGATCCTCTTTTCCTTTTTCTCCTGCCGGGCATCTGCAGGAGCTCTGCAGGCACCCGTGGGACCCTCTGGGTCCCCTCCTCACACACACTTGCGGTCTCCTCCCTCTCTTGCTAGATTGTTTTTGCACCCCCTCCAGCCCTTTCCTCTGTGAGGTTTGATGGAAGATTTTCAATGTCTGCCTTTTATTGAATCCATACTAGGATTAAGGAACTGCCATGTGTAGTGTTAAAATATATCCAGCTAGAATGCCCATTTTGTTTATTGATGTTTCCCAAGTGCCTGGAAGAAAGTCTGGCACATGGTAGGCATTCTTGAAATATTTATTGAACAAATGGTTTAAATTTCTTGCAGTTAGTCGAAGCCACTCTTCAGCACACCAGATCTTATAAACTTTCATCAAGACTTAAGGATTCAGAACACTTATATATCATGAGAAATTTGTTAACTATACGGAAAACTTTTTTGTGGATTGAGGTGATTAGATTCTAAACAGGTTGCCCAGGAGACACTGGACTCTTTCTCTTAAAGTTAAAAAAAAAAAAGGCTGGGGGCGGTGGCTCAGGCCTGTAATCCCAGCATTTTGGGAGGCCAAGGCAGGTGGATCACGAGGTCAGGAGATCTAGACCATCCTGGATAACAAGGTGAAACCCCGTCTCTACTAAAAATACAAAAAAATTAGCCGGGTGTGGTGGCGGGCACCTGTAGTCCCAGCTACTCGGGAGACTGAGGCAGGAGAATGGCGTGAACTTGGGAGGCGGAGCTTGCAGTGAGCCAAGATCTCGCCACTGCACTCCAGCCTGGGCGACAGAGTGAGACTTCCTCTCAAAAAAAAAAAAAAAAGTCTCTGTTTGTAAAGGTTCTAATTGTTTTCTAGCCCAACGCAAGGCATGAATGAAATAACCACTCAGGACTTTTTGTGGTCATGGCTGTAATTCCTACTGACAGCTTCCCTTATTCAATACCCAGCATATGCAAGGCCTTTTGTATACTCCTTCCTGTATCTGCATATCCCTTCCTAGGAGATTGTATCATCCTACATATCTTCAGGCAAAGACCCTGGAGGGTTAAGGCCTTAAAGGGAAACTAAGTAAACTGCCAAAGGTCACAGAGGAAAGAGGTGACAGGGCCTGATTTGAACCCTGGCCTTTATGATGTCAAAGCTTATGACCTTCCATTGTGCTACCTGCTCTAGAGATAGAGAAGCTATGTGAGTTTTCCAGAGGGTTTGTTCACTTCAACAGAGCTCCTCAAGTACCTTCTGTGGATGTGGCACAAATTAAGGGCTCTTTCTCAACACTGTGTAAAATCACTAGAGCATGGCTGCCCCCAACAAGCAAGGCTGGATGGACTGGTACAAATAGCACATAGGTGCTGGAAGAGTTCAAAGTCCTGGAAAGATCAAGCAGTATGGGTGGGGTATGTAGTGAGGTCGGTTTTTTGGAGGAAGTTTGTCATGGGTTGGGCCTTAGAGAGAAGGTAGGAGGTCCCACCTGTGAGAGAGGCAAAAGAATGAGAACAGAATGAGCAAAGACATGGAAGGAGAAAGCGTGATGTATAATGAGGCAGCACCAAGGGGAGGTTCAAGAGTGTTAATAACCTGGGGATAGAAATGCACTGCTGAATGCTGGCATCTGGAGATGTCCCTCACCTACCTAACTTCTGAAATGCCTGCAGCCTCCTGCCAGACCAGAGCGCCAGGAGTTCCCCATGTCCCAGGTAGAAAATCAGAATATAGGTTACTGGTAAGCACAATGCTTGTACCTGATTGAAATAGTGCTAACAGTCCTATAGTTCTAATGAAAAGTAGATTAATAGCTTATTTACAGACTAACCAGGCAAAGGATCAATTGCTAGTATGAATTTTCCATGGTTTATTTTATCCCTATCAGTTAAGATTGAGTTATTACATATCAGATTATGACTTTATTTAGTAACTTGTTTTCATTCTCCAAGAGTCTGTTTTATAAAATATCAGACTGAATCCTGTAAATTTGGACACACACTACAACTATTTTGAAAATAGTTACTTTTCTGGCCAGTGCCACCCTGAAATACGGTGTGTATTTCAAAATTACAAGTGTACAGCCTCATAAAGATAGAGATGGCAGAAGAACCTCACTGCTTACAGAAAGCATAGACATTCACTTCACGTCGGAATGGGCATTGGGGGGGTTATGGAGCTGGACATGCCATTCCTTCTGCCAACCAGTCATTGGTGAGCCTCCTTGATGTTGCTGGTTGAGGGGGTTGGTCCACATGCTGAACACCTCTACTTGTCATGTTCTTCCTTATGTGGATCCAGAAACTCTGGGCCTCACCTTTACCCTTGGCTTCTGGCCCTGCTGCTCCTCTGTGCATGGTGATCCTTCAAATGTTTGAGGAGAGAGAATATGTCCAAGATTTAATTTGAAGAAGGGAAGGAAAAACCAAAATGTACTAATACCTAGTTCTTTCACAGTTCTTTCTCGTATGATAAGCTTTCTAGGCCCTCTTTCAGTTAAAAAAAAAAAAAATACAGGTAGACTAATTTATGTACATTGAAAAACATTTTACACATATCCCAAGAATTGGCTATTTTCCTATGGCAAATATTTCGCTTATGTTAAGAATCCTTTTTAAGCATGATTTTTTTTTTTTTTGAGAGAGTCTTGCTTTGTTGCCTAGGCTGGAGTGCAGTGATGCGATCTCTGCTCACTGCAACCTCTGCCTTCCAGGTTCAAGCAATTTTCCGCCTCAACCACCCAAGTAGCTGGGATTACAGGTACTCACCACCATGGCCAGCTAATTTTTGTATTTTTAGTAGAGATGGGGCTTCTCCATGTTGGCCAAGCTGGTCTCGAACTCCTGACTTCAGGTGATCCACTTGCTTCTGCCTCCCAAAGTGCTGGGATTACAGGCGTGAGCCACCGCGCCCAGCCTCATGAATTCTTGTAAGCTTTTGTAATGTTCCAACATATCTGCTTTAAAATTTAGTGTTATTCAGCACAACATGTATTAGAGAGAACTTCATCTGTATTACCCACTTATTCATTCATACATTTATTGATTGCCTGTTGTATCCACAACGGGCACCACGCAAGGCAGGGGAGATACAAAGATAAATGGACATTGCAGGTCACACCCTCAATGCACTGCACCCCACACCACTCCTGGCTTTAATTCCACAACTTCAGGGAACTCATCAGAATGAAATTCAGAGTCGCTCAGACCTTAAACCAAAGGATCAAATATTCAAGCACTAAGGCAGGCTGGGAAAAGTTGGGTCTGGGCGCGGCGGCTTGTGCTTGTAATCCCTGCACTTTGGGAGGCCGAGGTAGGAGGATCACTTGAGTCGAGCCTGGCCAACATGGCAAAACCCTGTCTCTACAAAAAATACAAAAATTAGCTGGGCATGGTGGCACATGCCTGTAGTCTCAGCTACTCCAGAGGCTGAGGTGGGAGGATTGCTTGAGCCCACGAGGCAGAGTTTGCAGTGAGTCAAGATGGTGCCACTGTACTCCAACCTGGGCAACAGAGTGGGACCCTGTTTAAAACCAAAAAAACGAGAAGAAAGAAAAGTTGGAAAGATTTTTAAAGTACCAGATTCTGTATAGCAGTAAGATATTTTGATATCAGGGAGTCTGAAAGGGACTGTCATTGAGGTTGGGAGCTGGAGTCATCCGAGATATACGTTATTGGATCAGTTTTACCTGAGCTCAATTCTGGTAGAGCCTTCCAGTTAGCCCATAAATGAAACCTCCCATTTGAGTGAGAGGAAAGTCAGCCCTACCTGGCAGGAAACTCATGCCTGCTTGTGTCAGAGGACACAGGGAGCACAGCTTCCTCTTTGGAGATTGGTCCCTGGTCATCACCCTGACAATCTCATCGACAGCCTGAGGATGTTATCAGACATCAGACTAAATCCTAAGAATGTGTGTCGATGCACACTGCCCACTCTGTACACAGCATCACTTCTATTAATGGAACCTCCACTCCCCTGTGACCCAGGTGGAAAATTAGCAAGTTGGTTTCGATTCCTCTTTTTCCCACATCCCCTGTATCTTTGCAGTCACAGATTCTGGCAGCTATGACTTTTTAATATTTCCTAGGCTTAACCCTTTCTCTTCCTCTTCCCAACCCTCTCTTTTGTCATTAGTTCAGACCCTCATCGTTGCACCTCAAGAATATTATGAAATGCTACAATTGGTCTCTCTAGCTCACCCCACTAAGATTCAGTTCACCCACTGTTACCTGAATAACAAGTCTAAAATGTTATTTTCATTGTGCTGCCCTCCTGACAAAAAATGTATAGTGCCCACTCGAGCTTGAAGCAGGTAATGATTAAGGGCAGGAACTCTCCAGCTTGCTCAGTTGTGTGACACTGAACAACTCACTCTTCTCTAAGCCTCCATTTCCCACCTGTTACAAGGGAATAGTCACAGGTTGTAAATAAAAATAGGCCGGGCACGGTGGCTCACACCTGTAATCCCAGCATTTTGGGAGACCGAGGAGGGTGGATCACTTAAGGTTAGGAGTTCAAGACCAGCCTGGCCAACATAGTGAAACCCTGTCTCTACTAAAAATACAAAAGTTAGCCGTGTGTGGTGGTGCACACTTGTAATCCCAGATACGTGGGTGACTGAGGTAGAAGGATCACTTGAACCTGGGAGGCAGAGGTTGCAGTGAGCCAAGATGGTGCCACTGCACTCCAGCCTGGATGACAGAGCAAGATTCATCTCTAAATAAATAAATAAAATATCAGCTTCAATGGGTTATTGTGAAAATTAAGTGAGATATCATGCATGTAAAATGCTTACCACAGTTCCTGCAATATAGTAAGCACTCAATAATCATTACCCTTGTTATTAATATTGGAAATAGTTGGTGGGAAAAGGAAGAAAAGAAATAGTTTAGTGGCTACAGAGGCTAAAGAAAGATGTGATTTACTTCAAGACTAGGGAAGTCTGTCAGTTTTGAAAGTCAAGTGGAAAGACTCAGAGAAGATGAGAGAATTGCATCTTGGAGGGTGGAATGTAGGAGATTGGGCCAGTGGTAAATCTTGGACAGGCTGTATTAGACTGGGAGGCAGAGGGGGAGGATTTTTATTAACAATCATACATTTGAGATCTTAAAACCTCAAATCTTTGAGGTTCTGCTCAAACTGTGTTAACTGCAGAAATCCACTGGAAATGTATCACAGTGGCTAAGAACTTTTGTCCTGGACTCAGACTGCCTGAGTTGTGTTGCAGATTTTGCCTCTTTTACTTATTAAGCAAACTTAGACAAATTACTTAACTCCCTGAGCTCAATGTCTTCTTCATAAAAAGAGCATAGTAATGGAACCACACTACAGAATTGTTTTTGAGGATTCATTGAATTAATGTAGGCATAGAATGCTCATTAACCTGCTTGGACATGGTAAGAGGTCAACATGGTTGGCTGCTATAAATTATATATAATTCCCTACATTATAGCCAGAAGTCTATTAATCATTTAGCAGTGCTTCTGAATGTGTGGTCCAGAGACCCTTCAAGGTCCCTGAGACTCTTTATGGAGGCAGTCCATGAGATTAAAACTATTTTCTTAATAACACTAAGACTTTATTTGCCTTTTTCACTCTTAGTCTCCTATGAATATAAAATAGTGTTCTCCAGGGTTTTGTGATATGTGATATCACAATAAATTGAAACAGTATGAAAATTCAGCTTTTACTAAGCTGGAGATTAAAGAGTTTTGCAAAAAAAAAATTAAAATCAGGCTGGGTGCAGTGGCTCATACCTGTAATCCCAGCACTTCGGGAGGCCAAGGCGGGTGGATCACTTGAGGTCAGGAGTTCGAGACCAGCCTGGCCAACATGGTGAAATCCCATCTCTACTAAAAATATAAAAATTAGCTGGGTGTAGTGATGCACACCTGTAATCCCAGCTACTCTGGAGGCTGAGGCGTGTGAATCACTTGAACCTGGGAACTGGAGGTTGCAGTAAGCCAGGGTCAGGCTGTTGTGCTCTAGCCTGGGTGACAGAGCAAGACACTGTCTCAAAAAAAAAAAAAAGTTAAATTATACCATTCTTCTTATGAAATATTTCATCGTTTTGGAAAATGTTTTTCATAAGAGATTTTTAATATTTTTAAAATGTCTCCCTTTTAGTTTATATAACTGTTAATGTCAGTACCTATAACTCGTATAAACAAAAGCTCTTTGGTTTCCTCAATAATTTTGAGAGTGTAAAGAGTTCCCGAGACCAAAAAGTTTGAGGTGACTGTCATAGAGTATTTCTCAGATAAAAATCAAGATTAAAGCTAAATCTATCCTGTGAGTATAAAGTTTTTTCATCTCTGGCTAAAGGTCAGCAGCTGGATTAATATAAAGAAATACTTTCTCTACAGAGTTTGGAACTCTGATCCTATCTCCTCATTTTTAAGCACAATGCATGTATATTTTCCTGAAAAAGGTGGTCTCAGGTTTCTAAAGTTGCCATTAGATGTTAGATTAGTGGCCTCACCCTAACCCACAGCAGGTAAGTACATAGGAAGCGTCCCTGCTCTGAAAACATGTTTTGTTTGTTAACAGCTAATGCAATCCAAAAGCTCATCTGTATCAGCCTGTCTCAGGCTGGTGGCTCATCTCAACAATTACTCAGTCATCTGTGTTTAAAGATGAAATTATTTTGTTTTTAGTGGCCAATCCATCTAACTTATAAATCCATATTATCCTTTGTAGCAAAGCCACGGAGGAAATTGTGAATACTGGTATCACAGTTACTAAGGATGAGAAGACCAGTGTGGCCCGACTGATGAGGGAAAAAGAACATGAAATGAACGTCCTCTATGGCATAGCTCAGAGGCAGAAGCAAGAAGAGGTACAGGAAGTGCTTCAAGAAGCAGAGAAAACACATCAGGCCACTCTTGGCAATGTGATAGATACACTGGCCAACACCCAGGGGGAGCTGCTGTCTATAGCAAAACAACTGGGAATCATGACAAATTGGAAAGATTTCCTAGAGGAGGAATTACAGGAAACCAGGATGGCATTTCAAAAATACATCAATTATACCTTTCCTAAGCTTTCACCAGGACATGCAGATTTTATTCTGCCAGAAAGAAAGAAAACACCTTCTAATCTTGTTATTGAGGAGAACAAAACAACTCTTGATTAGAAGTCTTCAACTGAAATTTCACTACAAAAGACATCATTCTAGACTAAATAAATTAACTCATTACAAAAACCATTTATTGATTTCCCAGCCTTGTGCAGGGTACTATTGGGCTGTAAGATTTTTCATGGAAAACCAAAATATTAAAAAGTACATTCCAGATTATAGTGAGCCAAGTCTGAGAAGAAAAAACTGTGAGAGGGAGCAAACTGATTAAGAGGGGAAAGGTTTCTTGGATGAAGCCTAAACACGCTTCTGTATCTGTCTTTATTCATTTCTACATCAGACATATAATTAATTATTTCAGTATTTATTGCCATAGAAAACAAGTAAAGGAAGTGTCCTTAGGTTTTTCCTGTTTTGGGCAGGTGTGCTAAGTTCCAGTAGAGAGATTATCATTTGGTGAATGCAGTAGCATTGTGAATTTAAAAAAGCAATTTCTCTCACATACAGTAGGATAAAATTTAAATGCTGGGACTCCCATATAAAGTAATTCAGGAAGGACTTATTGCCCACACAACAGGCAGGTTTGGTCACTTGGTGGGTGTCAACCCAATGACCACAACCAAGGAAGATTTAGCAAGAGGATTTTATTATTTATAAGGAGTAAGGAGAACACCAGGGATAGTCCCCAAAGCAGTGTCTCCCTGAGCAGGGGGCTGGGTCAGGTTTTATAAGCATAGGGTAATAAGGCATGATCTGATTGGATCTTGTAATGAGGGGATGTCGGAAGGCATGATCTAACTGGATCCTGCCATGGGGTGATGTCAAAGCTCACTCCAGTTGGATTCTGGATCCTGCCATGCAATGTCCACTTTAATTCAGTTCCCACTCCTGAGTCTGAGCAATTAGTTCCCTCTGTGTTTGAACACTTGGTCCATCTGGGCATGCTCAGGTTACATGACCTGAGGGTCCATGGCAACTGGAAAACAATGTACTACTTTGTTACATAAAAGTTGAGTCAGATTGGTCTGGTATGGCTACAGACTCACTTATATTTGCCAGTTGTAAAAGAAAAAAAGGTGGGAGATATTTCTCAAATCCACTTCTCTGAGAACTCAGAGGGTAAGGTTTTTAAAGGATAATTTGGCAGACAGGGGGCTGGGGAATGGGTGCTACTGATTGGTTGGGGATGAAATCACAGGAGTGCTGGAACTGTTTTCGCACACCGAGTCAGCTTCTGGGTGGGAGTTACAGGACCAGTTGATTCATTTCCTTGGTATGAGTCATGGGTCCAAGTGGTGTCAGTTCATCAGAATGCAAATGTCTGAAAAAGATCTCAAACAAAAATCTTAGGTTTTACAATAGAGATGTTATCTGTAGGAACAATTGAGAAAGTTACAACTCTTGTGACCTCTGGCTACATGACTCCTGAGTAGTAAGCAAGCTAGGGAACATGGCTGGTTATCACTGAACTATGCATATGTCTTAGCAGAATTCAGGCTCCTCCCATAATTCTAACATTTTGGCCTTTCATTCATTTTGCAAAGATGGTTTTAGTGCCTGAACTAGGAGGAGGGTAGTTTTGGGAAGGGGCAATTATCTTCCTTGCTTTAATGTTAAACAATAAATTCCTCCCATGGTTAGCTTGGCCTACACTCAGGAATGAGCAAGGGCAATAAGCTTGTGAGGTTAGAAGCAAGATGGAGTCTGCCATGTTAGATTTCTCTCACTGTCATAAGTTTTGCAAAAGTGGTTTCAGAACCCTAACCCTTCCAGCAGACATGAGCAGGGAGCCAAGAATGATGGGGAGCAGAACTGGATGCCCTTCCCTGAACATGCTGGATGTACTCTCCTGATGCCAAGCCTCACAGGTAAATGTGTGGAGGGGTACACTCTGTAGCTCCCTCCCACCATCCTAATGTCAGGAAAGACAGATTTGCCCTCAGGGTTCTGGAGAGAGACTAATTGCCTGTAGCAAAGTCAAGTGAAATAGCAAAGTCAAGTGAAATAGCAAAGTCAAGTGAAAATTGAAAATGAGTTATGTTTTTGAAATTTCATTGGGACCCTCATGCCTGATTTTCAAGTGAAACTTGACTGAGACAGAGATTAAGTCAGACTATTTTTAAAAAGATTCCCCGAGTGGGCTGGGCACAGTGGCTCATACCTGTAATCCCAGCACTCTGGGAAGCCGAGGCAGGTGGATCACAAGGTCAGGAGATTGACACCATCCTGGCTAACACAGTGAAACCTCATCTCTATTAAAAATATTTAAAAAATTAGTGGGTGCCTATAGTCCCAGCTACTCAGGAGGCCGAGGCAGGAGAATGGCGTGAACCCAGGAGGTGCAGGTTGCAGTGAGCTGAGATCGCGCCACTGCACTCCAGCCCAGGTGACAGAGCAAGACTCCGTCTCAAAACAAAACAAAAAAATTCCCCAAGTGAACCAATTTTTAGCATAATTTGACAGAGAACAATAATAACTCTCCTTTGAGTACAATACCTAGAGAGGCCATTATAGACCTTAGATACTATGCCCCATATAAATTATTAAAGTTGTAAACATTTTGCAGAGTTACTTTAAAGAGAACTTAAAGAAGTCCATTTATCTTAGTTGTCTTAGATGCTACCTGTACAGTAAGAGTGCATGCAGTTCACATGGTTTCTGGTAATTAGGAAGCTGTGTTAACTCCTGGAGGCCATCTGGGAAGGCCTCTAAGACTGAGGACTCTTAAGAAATTACTGCAGTTTAATTTTCTGGAATTTATGCTACCAAGACATGAACTTTCTTTTTGCAGTAAAGGAACTTGTGTGCTACGAAACAGATGTATAGCATCACTCGGACAGATGGAGAAGCCTCCATTCTAATCACAAAGCACAAGGAGTTGGGCAGTTTAGTAATCACTGGACTTTTATATCACCAAGAAGTCACTCTGATAGTTTCTTTCTCCAACTCTGATTTCATCTGACTTATTTAAGGCTTGTGTGTTTTAGGCCAGGCATAGTGGCTCACGCCTGTAATCCCAGCGCATTAGGAGTCTGAGGTGGTCAGATCACTTGAGCCCAGGAGTTCAAGACTAGCCTGGACAACACGGTGAAACCCTTTCTTTACAAAAAGTACAAAAAACAAGCTGAGTGTGGTGGTGTGCACTTGTAGTCCCAGCTACTCAAGAGGCTGAGGTGGGAGGATTGATTGAGCCTGGGAGGTTGAGGCTGCAGTGAGCTGTGATCCTGCCACTGCACTCCAGCTTGAAAAACTATAATTAGTCTGTTTTCACACTGCTGATAAAGACATACCCAAGACTGGGTAATTTATAAAGAAAAAGAGGTTTCATGTACTCACAGTTCCACGTGACTGGGGAGGCCTTACAATCATAGCAGAAGGCAAAAGACACATCTTATATGACAGCAGATAAGAATTGGGAACCAAGTAAAAGGGGTTTCCATTATAAAACTGTCAGATCTCATCAGACTTATTCACTACCATGAGAACAGTATAGGGGAAACCACCCCCGTGATTCAATTATCTCCCACCAGATTCCTCCCACAATATGTGGGAATTATGGGAGCTACAATTCAAGATGAGACTTGGGTGGGGACACAGCCAAATCATATCATTCTGCTCCTGGCCCCTCCCAAATCTCATGTCCTCACATTTCAAAACCAATCATGCCTTCCCAACAGTACCCCAATGTCTTATTTCAGCATTAACTCAAAAGTCCACAGTCTAAAATCTCATCTGAGACAAGGCAAGTCCATTCCACCTGAGCCCATAAAAGCAGAAGCAAGTTAATTCCTAGATACAATGGGGGTACAGGCATTGGGTAAATACAGCCATTCCAGTTGGGAGAAATTGGACAAAACAAAGGGGCTATAGGCTCCATGCAAGTCCAAAATCCAATGTGGCAGTCAAATCTTAAAGCTCCAAAATAATCTTTGACTGCATGTCTCACATCCAGGTCACACTGGTACAAGAGGTGGGCTCCCACGGCCTTTGTCAGTTCAGCCCCTGTGGCTTTGCAGGGTATAACCGCCCTCCTAGCTGCTTTCATAGGCTGCTGTTGAGCATCTGCAGCTTTTTCAGGTGCACAATGCAAGTTGTCGGATTTACCATTCTGGGGTCTGGAGGATGGTGGCCCTCTTCTCACAGCTCCACTGGGCAGTGCCCCAGTGGGGACTCTGTGTGGGGGGCCTTCAACTCCACATTTCCCTTCTGCACTCCCCTGGCAGAGGTTCTCCCTGAGGGCCCTGCCCTTGCAGCAAACTTCTGCCTGGACATCCAGGCATCTCCACACATCCTCTGAAATCTAAGTGGAGGTTCCCAAACTTCAATTCTTGACTTCTGTGCACCCGCAGACTCAACACCATGTGAAAGCTGCCAGAGCTTGGGGCTTGCATCCTCTGAAGCCATGCCCTGAGGTATACCTTGGCCCCTTTTAGCCATGGTTGGAGTGGCTGGGAAGCAGGGCACCAAGTCCCTAGGCTGCACAGAGCAGGGGGATCCCTGGGCCCAGACCACAAAACGATTTATTCCTCCTAGAACTCCGGGCCTGTGATGGGAGGGGCTCTGCAAAGATCTCTAGAGACATGCCCTGTAGACATTTTTCCTATTGTCTTGGTGATTAACATTTGGTTCCTTGTTATTTATGCAAATTTCTGCAGCATGCTTGAATTTCTTCTCAGAAAATGGGTTTTCTTTTCTATCTCATTGTCAGGCTGCAAATTTTTCAAACTTTTATCCTGTTTCCCTTTTAAAACTGAATGCTTTTAACAGCACCCAAGTCACCTCTTGAATGCTTTGCTGCTTAGAAATTCTGCCAGATACCCTAAATTATCTCCCTCAAGTTCAGAGTTCCACAGATCTCTAGAGCAGGGGCACAATGCCACCAGTCTCTTTGCTAAAACATAGTTTTACTCCAGTTCCCAACAAGTTCCTTATCTCTATTTGAGACCATCTCAGCCTTGATTTCATCATCCATATCATTATCAGCATTTTGATTAAAGCCATTCAACAAGTGTCTAGGAAGTTTCAAATATTCCCACATTTTCCTATCTTCTTCCGAG